ATTTCAATTGTAAAATGATGAGACTTTGCCACCAATCTCTGTTTCTCTCTCTCTCTCTCTCTATATATATATATATATATATATATATACTGAATAATATAGGCATATTATGTCTATTTATTTTTATAATAATCCTTACTAGTTCTCTAATTAACTTCTTCATGTGAAGTTGAAATTCATCAAGGCGCCGTAGTTTTTATTAACCCAAGTACTTACGATCTCTTAAGCGGTGAATTGCGAAGACGAACTTATAACAGCAATTCGTATCTATCTCGGGCTGCAATCTGATATGATATATGAGAAAAGATAAAAAATGTATTTTGTTCAGTCTGAGATAGATATTTCTTATTCGACTTTTTTTGTTTGTACAAATATTTCAAGGTAAATGTACATTACGAAGACGAATTTATTATAACAGCAATGTGATGGTGATTTTTGTAAATACGCGCGATCGTTATAATTTATTTTAAAATCCATCCGTTGTAGCTATGGTTTTTTTTGTGTATGTAAACAAGCGTCTACAATGTAAGGAGCTAACGAGAGATGGCAAAAATGCAACGTAGCATTAAATATTAGTCAAAGACATTTTAAAACATTGCTACTACACTTGTAATACATTTTGTTCAGTGTTGGTTGTTTTTTGATATATTTAACGAATTAAATTTGTTTTAGCAATTCCCACCTGAGGTTGATTTTGAAGGAGATCGAAAAGATTTAGGTTAACAAAAGCTACAGCGCCTTCTTGATGATTCAAGAGACTAATTATAGAACTAGAAATGATTATTATAAAAAATAGACATATTATGTCTATATTATTTAATGAAACAAGCTTGAATGAAGATATGCTGCCTATATATATATATATATATATATATATATATATATATATATATATATATATATATATATATATATATATAAACAATTACTGATAAGATGCTCCGAGTTAAATTAGCCCAGGAAACTGTTGTATACAAAAAGTGCTCAATACATATAATAAAAAAATTAAAAATTTAGCATGCAGTTTTTTAAATTAAAAAATATGTATCGGCCAGTCAGTCTACCCTGGTTTAACTGTTCGATCTTTTCAGTTGATTCGGACCCAAATCGCCTGAGGATACCGAAATGTTGAAACAAGGAATCGTGACTGGCTGATACCTAATTTATATATATATATATATATATATATATATATATATATATATATATATATATATATATATATATATTAGTGTTTGTTTTTATAAGATATTCGCATTAAAGATATAAACATAGGCAAATTCTAATATCTGCTGAATTAGTAATTTACTGAAACATAACTTGAAATTCTCAGACAAAAAAAAAAAAAAAAATGAAACAAAAAAAACCGCAATGAAAGAGTTACTGAAAAAGTAGTAACGTCAGATTTCGTTTAAATCGAAATCTTATCATTCCATCATTTTGAATTTATAACAAACTAGGAGGAAATAATTGTAGATGTGGGAACATCTAAGAATGTTTTTTTTTCCATTTACATACAGGGAAAGAGTCGACATATGGTTGCAATGTGATGTCCTATACGCGTGCAAGTTCTCTGGGATAACTTAGTCATCAGGAATTAAACCTGACCTTATATCTTTAAGCGCAACTGTAAGGTGTTGAGTGGAAGGATACTCACTGGTACTGAGGTACTATATTTCTGATTATGACTCTGAAATGAATGGGTATATATATATATATATATATATATATATATATATATATATATATATATATATATATATATAAACGTTTTTTCATGTAATGACGGAGATTATCTTCAGAATTGTATACGGAGTTCTTCCTGATATCTCCGAGACTGAGAAATGCGATTGATAAGACTGGCTTTGAATAAAATCCAAAGGAAAAATTGCAGTTTTATTGGTCCTAAAAAAGCACCTCCGCTTCAGCCCCTTTCCGGCCATCGTAATGTGGCTTCCCTGTGTCTTTTCTAAAATACTTTCATGGCAATCGTTCTGATTAACTTGCTGCTATTGTACATTGATTCTGAGTGAAGTAGGCTTGATATGTAAATTCTATGGTAAGAAGTAAATTTAAATTTTAAAAATTCTAATAGAAGACAATTTTGTTCTTTGATTATGTAGAAAAAGAAAGACGATTTGGCCCATAAATACACACACACACACACACACACACGCGCGCGCGGGCACACACACATACACATATATGTGAATGAATAATCAATTCAATTTTTAAACAGTATTTTATTTCCTTTGCTAGGTTGGAACACTCGAGAAATCTTGCTAGGAGGAAAATACGCCGTTTTTCTACAATAAGATACTGTTTAAAAATGAATTGATTATTCATATATATATATATATATATATATATATATATATATATATATATATATATATATATATACATGAGTAGAAGCTCCGTTTATTTTTTATAAAAAAAAACCGCTCTGAAGAATCTTATGATTTCTAGAGTCTTCAGAGCGGGAGACGATAATATTATTTTGTAAAAAAATGAACGGAGCTTCTACTCAAGTATGGGTATAAAATAATGTTTAAAGTAATAAGGTTTTTGAATGGTCGAATACAGAGACCTGGTGCAGTTTTTGAATTTAGAGTTGTCCTTCTTCTAGACCAGTTGCCACGCAAGGTTATCCTGCTATTTACCCATAGCTGGAGGGGTGGGAAAAGAAGAAAATTAATACCTTTCCCAGGGGTATTAGCACGTAAATATATGTAATGGATTCCACGAGAATTTGAACTCTGTTCTCCGACTCCCCAATCCTAGCCCTTATATATATATATACATATATATATATATATATATATATATATATATATATATATATATATATGTGTGTGTGTGTGTGTGTGTATAAATATAAACATAAATATATATATATATGAAAAGTGTGTTTATATAAATATAAACATAAATATATATATATATATATATATATATATATATATATATATATATATATGTGTGTGTGTGTGTGTGTGTGTGTGTGTGTGTGTGTGTGTGTAATATATATATATTATTATTTCTATATTATATCCATGGTACTTATTAGAAAGCGCTCAATACCAGAGATAGAGCTAATATATTTGGTTGGATTGATGTGAGTTTAGACCCCAAACTCACATCAACTCCAATATATATATATATATATATATATATATATATATATATATATATATATATATATATATATATATATGTGTGTGTGTGTGAGTGTGTGTGTGTATATATATATATTATTATTTCTATATTATATCCATGGTACTTATTAGAAAGCGCTCAATACCAGAGATAGAGCTAATATATTTGGTTGGATTGATGAGTTTGTGACCCCAAACTCACATCAACCCAACTATATATATATATATATATATATATATATATATATATATATATAATGTAAAATCTTCTCTTGAAAAAATATTGTGTTAACTTTTATCTGTGAATTTATAGTGAATTTATATCTAATTAAAAAGTATGTTTTCTGTATCTTATATGTTTAACAATGGATTTAGCAATAACTTTACTGTCATTGCCTCAGATGATAAAGGTTTCTATGAACACTGCTATATACTCACTCTATTTATAATAACGTATAAGTAATAAGAATGTCGACAAAATCCTCATGTGAAAGAACGGAAAGAAATTGGCATCTACCTTTTCCGAAGTATTGGAGAAGAGTAACTCAATTGAATATGGTTAATCAATATCAAGCAGCAGTGATATATTGTACTTCCGGTCATTAAAGATAACAAAAAATACCGTTCTCTTGCTGGTGATTTATTGTAATCTCAGGTCTTCTTTTTAAATCATTCTTCAAGCATTTTATTTTTTTTCCCGACAATTATTTATCCTATACAGTGAGACGATTCAGAGAGAATTAGAAGTCCTATCTGGATTTATTAATGACAGCCACATAAGATATACAGCTGGCACATCGTTGATAGCAAGCCCAGAATGTAAACTATAAAAGATAGTGAAGTATAGAAAGAAGAAATGTTTAAACTTCAATTGAAGACAGACTGTGTGGTTGTCAGCAAAAGGAATAACCCAACAAGCAAATTACAAATTAGAGATATCAATGTCAAAAACGTACGACAATTTAAATATCTAGGAAGAATTTAATTAGAAGACGGAAAGTGCGAACACTGAAATGCGAAGGTGCATTGGGATAGCAAAATAAGCTTTCCAAAATCTAAGCAAAGTAATAAGAAACAGGAAAATTTCGTTAGAAACAAAGAAAAGTGTACTGAATTATTATGCTATATCAATCCTTCAGTATAGCAGTGAATGCTTGACAATCTCCTCAAAGATGAAGAAGAAACTTGAAGCAACAGTGAAGTGATTCTACAGAAGGTTGATGAGAATACGAAGGACCAAACATGTGAGCAACAAAAGTTTATAGAAAAAGGAAACAACAAGGACACTTATACTTAACAACAGAACTAGAGTTGAAATTTCTAGGGCATATAATGAGGAAAGAGGGCTTGGAAAATTTGATACTCATAGGACTGATTGAAGGAAAGAGACATAAACTACCTGGCGTGTTTGAAAAAATGGATGACAGAGAAGGGTTCAGAAAAGATAACAAAAAGACATCAAGAGCAACAAAGTACAGGAAATTGTAGAGAGCTATGAGGGCCAACGTCGTAAAGGGACACTAGACATCAAAGAAATACATATAAATAATTAATCAGATCCTTTTGGATGATCTTTCAACAAGTCAGATATGTATTGACTCACAGACATAGAATGACAGATATATGAGAGACTTAGACAGAAAAGATTCACACCATTGAGTCTCAAATAAGCAGATTAGAGGGGCAATTCCTTTTTCGGACAAAGGTCCACATGGGACGTCAATATTTCAGACACCATTTTTATGAAATATTTAGTTAATTTCCACCCATTACTTAATTCAGGCTGCGAGCATCTAAGACTGGGAGTGTCATTATTGCAAGTTATAAAAATAAATCTGTTACCTTCGTTTTATTCCAACGACACCGTATTAAAAGCTCAAGCAGATGAAGAGACTGAAATAGATAGATATGAACAGAAGTAGATAGATAGATAGATAGATAGATAGATAGATAGGTAGATAGATAGATAGATAGATAGATATGAAGAGACTGAAAAAGATAGATATGAAGAGACTGAAATAGATAGATAGATAGATAGATAGATAGATAGATAGATAGATAGATAGATAGATAGATATGAAGAGACTGAAAAAGATAGATACGAAGAGACTGGAATAGATAGATAGATAGATAGATAGATAGATAGATAGATAGATAGATAGATAGATAGATAGATAGATAGATATGAAGAGACTAAAATATATATATAGATATATAAATAGATATGAATAGACTGATATATACAGAGAGAGAAAAAGAGTGTGATGGGGGGAAAGAGAGACAGAAAATTAAAACCAGAAAAAGCCAAGAGCGATACCTGTATTTTTAGAACACTGAACATTAGCTGTGTTTTTTCTTTCTTGTTGAAAGATTCTGAGCTGCCTAGGTAATATGTTACAGACTCATTATTAATTAGGAAAAAATCCTTGTTCCTGCAGTAACCTGAAACTCGATAAAAGCATCATTTAAGTTTAGCAAGGAAGTTTACAATATATTCTCTAACAAAAAAAATCAAAAAAAAATCTTGCCACCCATCTCTGGTACTGTAGTAGAAAAACACACTGGAAAATTCATTTATAAATTCTATTAATATGCGAAACAATAGACCGCCAAATGTGTAAAATAATGTCATTAAAAACTTAAAAGGAATATAAATTTTAGAAAAAAAGCCTTTTAGCAGTATTTATACGTCATTGAGGAAAATAATTTTCCATAATGCGTAAGAATTATATAATAAATTCTGTGATTTGAATTAACGGTAAATATTGGTTTTGTTACCCGTGCGCTAATATCCATTAAAATTTTTCCAAAATCGTCATAATTCCGTTCAAATGTACATGCTGAACTCGAATTAACAATTAAATTATAAAGAAACTTACCGTTTTTGAGTTATCGAAAAGAAAACATCGGACTTCTTGTTGGTCATTCGTCCCCCATTACTGCCATCATGAATCTCGATTCAATGCGGGATACATACGCCGGCGTAATAAGAAAATTTGGCCTATTTACTTCTTTTACAGACTTTCCTTGCAGAAAATTACTACGGATAACAAAACCAATATTTACCGAATTAACCAATACATGTGCGATTTTTCAACTGTTGTCATGATCAGTCTCGGTTTGTTCGTATGTATCTCGGGCTGCAATCTGATATGATATATGAGAAAAGATAAAAAATGTATTTTGTTCAGTCTGAGATAGATATTTCTTATTCGACTTTTTTTGTTTGTACAAATATTTCAAGGTAAATGTACATTACGAAGACGAATTTATTATAACAGCAATGTGATGGTGATTTTTGTAAATACGCGCGATCGTTATAATTATTTTAAAATCCATCCGTTGTAGCTATGGTGTTTTTTTGTGTATGTAAACAAGCGTCTACAATGTAAGGGAGCTAACGAGAGATGGCAAAAATGCAACGTAGCATTAAATATTAGTCAAAGACATTTTAAAACATTGCTACTACACTTGTAATACATTTTGTTCAGTGTTGGTTGTTTGCTTTTGATATATTTAACGAATTAAATTTGTTTTAGCAATTCCCACCTGAGGTTGATTTTGAAGGAGATCGAAAAGATTTAGGTTAACAAAAGCTACAGCGCCTTCTTGATGATTCAAGAGACTAATTATAGAACTAGAAATGATTATTATAAAAAATAGACATATTATGTCTATATTATTTAATGAAACAAGCTTGAATGAAGATATGCTGCCTATATATATATATATATATATATATATATATATATTATAAATTAATTGATTTAAAATATGATTTTTTTCGCTACACAGTTCTAACCATGTTTTCAATTGAGCACTATTTTGCAAAAATAAAAATATCTATAAGAACACCGGATTATATATCTTACTGTTCTTTCTTTTCATTTATATATATATATATATATATATATATATATATATAGAGAGAGAGAGAGAGAGAGAGACAATTACTGACCAGAAGGTCAGAGTTGAATTAGCTCAGAAAACAGTTGTATAAAAAAGTGTTCAATACACGTATAAAAAAAAAAAAAATCTAGCATGCAGTTTTTTTTAAATTAAAAAAAATTATGTATCGGCCATTCACTCTACCTTGGGTTCAATTGTTCGATATTTTCTGTCGATTCGGACCAAATTCACCTGAGGATACCGAAAGATTGAAACAAGGAACCGTGACTGGCTGATACCTATATATATATATATATATATATATATATATATATATATATATATATATATATATATATATATATATAAACAATTACTGATCAGATGGTCAGAATTAAATTAGCCCAGGAAACAGTTGTATAAAAAAATGCTCAATACACGTATAAATAAAATAAAAATTTAGCATGTAGATTTTTGAAATTAAATTGTACATCCATTCTGCATAAAACCAAGTCACTGAAGGTTAATTCTTTCAACCATGTCATGTTTTATTTATCAGCAAAACGTGAAAGGAGGCAGCATTTTCTTTAACGTTTGGAGCATAGCTTTGTGGGTAAATAGATGAGGATGCCAGTTCCAAAATTCTTCTGGCTCTTGCAACGTGTTATATTTTCATTTGCATGTTGTTAATCGTTTTTATTCCGTTGCTAATGACGTGTTAACTGAGATTTATTTGTCTTTGCATTGCACTTTGATATAGAATAATCTTAATTTGTATATTTACCTAATTAAGCCTAATCGAAAAATAAGATGTTTCAATGGTGTAAGAAAGACAAATTTGAAATTGCTTCCTACCTGATCTTGAATATCGACAAAGATTCGATGAAAAGTAAATAACAACAATTCGCCCTTGCATGGACTATTGCTGCCATATATGGTCTGGAGCCCCTTCTGTTTGCCTAGGGGTTATTGATAAGCTCCAGCGGCGGATATGCAATATAATTGGCCCTGTTCTAGCATCTCGTCTACAGTCGCTTTCTCACAGACGCGCCTTCACCTCTCTCTGTCTTTTCTACAAATACTTTCATGGCAATTGCTCCGAGAAGCTGCATTCGCTGGTTCCCAGACTTCATGAATTCAAGCGCCCTACGAGGCTGGCATCTCGCTCTCACCCCTTCACTGTCGAAACTATTAAATGTAGCCGTCTCTTCTACCCCAATAGCTTCATACCTCGCACCTCTAGCCTGTGAAACACCCTTCCCAATTACTATAATCTCCAACTATTCAAATGTAATGTCAATCGACATCTCCAGTTGCCTTGATCTATCAACTACCTTTCTCCTCATCCTTTCCTCTATCACTCCTATCTGATCTTGCTCCAAATCTTCTGCAACCCCTTGCTTCTGTAACCCGCCTTGCTTGGGGTGAAACGCTTAAAAAAAAAAAAAAAAACTCTTTCGGGCAGTAAGCAAGTCATAGAGACATTTATGATGTAAATGGTAATCTGTACCTTAGTGAATATACTATGCTTGTAAGAATGTGCTAATATATATAAGATAAGAATTAGTCCAGACCGAGAGAGATATACTTAAACAAATAGAGAGATAAACTTCGATAGACATAGATACACAGATTAGAAATATATATATATATATATATAAGGAGAGAGAGAGAGATACAGTGAGATAGACATACACAAATAGAGAAAGATAGAGTTACAAAGATATATATATATATATATATATATATAGATTGATACAGTTAGAGAAAAGGAAACAGAGATACAGACAGGTCGATAGATGGACACCCATGGATAGATACTGACGGATCGATAGATAGACACCCATAGATAGATACTGACGGATCCATAAATAGACACCCATAGATAGGTACACAGTGAGATACATACACACAGACAATACTTAGATAAACACAGTAGTAGATAGATATAGACTTAGGTCGATTACGAAAGAGACAAAATGTTATTGAATTTATGAAATAGAAGATGACATATGCATTGAGAGCATTTACACAAAATTTTGAAAGTGACAATTCGTGTCGACTGCTTACGCGTTGCTGTTAGACATGGAAATATATTCTTGTCAGTTTCAACTGTCAAAAACCTAAGCACGATGCTATAGCTTTTAATCTTGAGAAATATAGCAAAGAAACGTTAAACTTCTCTCTTTAGCCCCGCTGTATGCATATATCTTTCATAAATTAATATAAAAGTATATATATATATATATATATATATATATATATATATATATATATATATCTGAATAGTCATACATAAGCATAAATCTGAAGCGTAAGAAAGAAGCGATTTACAAATGGAGACTTATAGATAATCAATATTTCATTAATAAGAAAGTATAGCTGGCTAATTTGACGATGTTTCGATAACTATTTACCACATCAAATAAATATTAACATTTATAACAGTTAATTGAAAGAGAAATTGAGTCATTCTTATCGTATCGGGAATAATTCAAATGTATTACTGTTTTTCCTTCTTCACATAGGTTCTATCAGAATGTGCTCTCATTTAGCTGAATTTAGAAATATTTCATATTTATGATGTACTAATGAATAAACAATTCCAGATCAGAGCGAATGTGAGCTTGGTCACACAGACTACACCTATATTCCCATGGAGTTATGATTTTTATCGGCCATTGCACTTGAATATAATACTTAGTAGGTACAATGTATTATGCAAGATCGATTTGATGGCATATTAGATCTACTTCCATGTGACCTAGTGCCAAACTAAACCCACTTGGGGATATTCGTATAAATATACGAACAGGAAAAGAGTGGTGTATATATATATGTATATATATATATATATATATATATATATATATATGTGTGTGTGTGTGTGTGTGTGTGTGTGTGTGTGTGTGTGCGCGTATGTATATATATTCTTTATTTTATGATATTACATCGAAGAACATGTCAAAATCGCTACACAATTGCAGTCGTTTTTCGATATGTATCAACGCATCTCATGAGGCGATTGTAAATTACTATATATTTCTCTATTTTGCGTTGAGCCCTCTTTTAAGTTAAATGTTGCGAACGTTGAAATTGTATTCTATTTATTCTCATCTTACCTGGATATATATAGTCTTAAGGTGTGCTATATTTATCGGGTAAAGTGCTCAATATCAGAGATAGAGCGTGTGTAAATATAACAGTGAACCTAGTGAACACTTAGAGGCGACAGTCTGTTTCAGGCCTGACGATTGCATCTAGCATGAAACAGACTGTCGCCTCTAAGTGTTGACGTCTAGGTTCACTTTTATATATATAGTCGACTCTCCCGTCGAATTCGACGTATGAGGGTCAAGCAGATCAGTTCCTAGGAAACCGACAGCCCGACAACAGCACATGAGATTTGTTTATAGTGGTGAACGTTTCGTGCAGGACCATCCACACTTTTTGAAGGGCCGAATTCAGAGACCTGGTGCACTACGTGTGACAAGGCCCCCAAACGACCCTCCGCAGGTTTTAAATTCAGAGTTGTCCTTCTCCTAGGCCAGTTGCCATCCAAGGCTATAGAACCCAGTCTGTCCGGCTATTTACCCATAGCTGGAGAGAGAAGAGGATTCATATCTTTCATATATATATATATATATATATATATATATATATATATATATATATATATATATATATATATATATATATATACTTTTTTAGGCAGGCCCTCGTATTGCGATCACGATTCAGATTTACAATATTTCTTTGTGCTTGCGTCTAGTAACAAAAATACCACAATATTTTAAATTGTTCCACACTAAAAATTTTCAGTACTCTATTAAAACAATTCCTAGATATTTAAATTATTGTACTTACTTGAGTTTGTTGTATCGAATTTTAATTCGCATATTCGGTTGCTAACAGCCGTACTTTCTGTCTTCTTACAACTGTTTCTTATTTTTAAATGATTTAGAGTAATCTCACTGTCTTTATGCGAAAATAACATTCTGGTAAGTTGTATACACAGTCTCTTACGATATTGTTTATTTTTAGGTAAAACTAACCTACGAGAAAATGCAGTTGCTTTTTTATTTTATTTCATTATTTTACTTGCTCTACTTTCCATACTTTGGTTCAGCTAATATAATTTTCCTAGTACAAGAGATTATTTCGTAAGAACTAGCAGCATGTCCCGGCGTTGCCCGTGCTTGATTCAAAAATCGTACGGCTCGTACAGCAATCGCTATCACTTGACTTAAAATATTTTTGCCCTTCCTTGCCTTTAAAGGAGTGCCCTTTGCCGTGCTGATGTTGTTACATGCCTTACTTCTTGCCTATCTCACACTGCGAATCTTTTCTAAGCTCTATACTAAATATTAAATCTGTAACGAAAAAAGAACTAAACAAAATGAACACAAAACGATAAGCTTTAAAAAAAGGACTCGTAACTGGAAGAACCGAATGAAAAAAGAATGTTAACAACAAATACTTTTTCACACTAACCCAATTCTGCGGAATCAGAATCAACGTTGAGTTTAAGCAAGCGAATGAGCCAATTGGAGTAAAGTGCCATGCAGATTTAAATTTTTCCCACTTGTGACGGATGCAGCTATCGTTTTTTTTTTGCATGCATGAATCTTCCTGCCTATTCATGGCAGCCAGCTATAGGCTCTCACTCTGGCCAGTACAAAATGGCCGCAAACTACATGAAAACTGTCGTAGAAGCATGAAAACATCGATTATTTCCACTATCGATGGGAGTTGGGAAATGCAAAATCGGTCTTGGCCTTCCCGCTAAATTGGAGTATGTGCATGTAAATTTTGGTGCAAATCCGTCCGTGCATTCGTCACACACACACACACACACACACACACACACACACACACACACACACACACACACACACACACACACATCGTGCCTTTTATAAATAGAGATTCAGCAATAAAAGAAAATATACAGGTTTATATTTAAACTAATATGTTTCTAACAGTAATTACGTTATACGGCCATAGAATATTTTATCATGAAATATTAAGGATCAGTATTTGTTCAAATGTCTAAAACGAACAAAATATTTTTTTGTTTTTAATCACATTTAATTACCAAGGAAAACAATAAATCGACTAAGACGCAACTGGTTACTGAGTGCGAAAGACTGAGAAAAACAATAACACTATTAAGGGGAGAGAACAACTAAATAACAGGAATTAAGAAAACAGACGATAACGATTGACATTGCATTTGCACTTTTGAAGATTAAAGTTGACTGGGAAGCAAGAGGTCGGAATAGAGTCCCACAAGCGATAAGTGTGAGAAGGATAAACTGTTAGCATAAAACATGTGATTACATCTAGCTATTTCAACTGTTTCAACTAACCCTAGCTGCTAATCTAGTACTGCGTTTACATTCGTAGTCAAGGTACCCAAAATAAAGCTTATCAGAACAAGTACCATGAAAC